AACTTTCTGATGCAGGAATCCCTGGCTGGCCGGTCACTTTCTGCCCTGCACAAGAATAGCAGGTCCCCAAAGCAGGGACTTTGTTATCTGCCAGTACTGCACCTGGGAGTTCAATCCTGGCCTGGAGTTTCAAGCTGCAATTGTAACACAATGAACAGCAGCGCTGAGAAACTAGTTACTAGCAAAATCTTGCTTTAAACAAGTCTCAACCTTTTCCCTCCAGCTACCAGTTAAAGAGATTTGTTTTGTGGTGCCATCAAAGAGTACCCCCAGCTGCACTACTGCATGCACGCTTCATTGAAGCATCAGAGAGGACAGACACTTTTGCAGAGCTGTCTTGTGTTCGAGCATAAGCTGACCTTAATGCAGTCATAGCGCTGGAACGAGCTAGGAATAATGCAGTTCTTGTGCAACATGAGTTTTCTCCCCAAACCACAAACAGACGACCAAATCCTCCCATTCATCACATGCTCAATGGATTTCCATTAGCTCTTGCAGAAGCTGCACCTAGTCACTATGCAGCAAAATCTGTGGCATGTTAAAACAGTGCTTGACCTCCTGACATGGCACAATACCAGGCCCCAACCATTTGAAACGCCTCCAGAACCAGTCTCCTGATGGCTCACCATCACCCGTGGCTTCGGACCTAATTCTAAGAGCTTTTCTCTCGGGAGTGAATGAGGTTCCATGAACATGGATGAGTTTTCAGGATCAGGCCTTAAACGTGTTCATTCTTTCTCAATGTTGGCTGCAACAGTGTGACACGAGCCTCCAGATCATTTGTGGTCAAATGTTTAAAATGTAAGATGTCCAAACCTACCCCTTAATTCTCCCACAAGTCTCCTGAGGGGTCAGTGGCCCTTTGACATCCCAGCGTGAGGTCTAGCTTTCAGACGTTCAGCAAGACTGTTTAAATCTCCATAAGCTAAGTTTATCACCACACTCCACTGGGGGCTTTCACACACAGCTGAAAGAATGCAGTGTGGGTGGGTTTTTTTTTTTTTTTTTTTAATGTGACCACATCATTCTCTTCTACATAGAAAACCGCTGGAGAAATGAGGATGTTTGCCCCCTGAAATCCAAGGCTATTCTGAGATTCGTAATGCAATCCCTACAGACACTACTAGGACATGCTTGAAGCCTGTGCAGACGAGTTCATGGATACGTGGCACTGCATTGTGCTGTGTTAGTGGGCTCCAAGTATGCTGTACAGAAATTACTCGGAGCCCAGGAGCTTGACACAAGTGCTGCTTCATTCAGGGTCTCGGTTCTAGCTTCCGAGCATGGTGTAGCCTCAGAGTCTTTGCATTGTGAGCAGCTGGTTCCAAATGTTCTTGCAAAACCTCTTAAAAAGGTACAGTCGCCCTCCTCTTCCTTCCCCAGCTAAACAGAACAATGAGCAAACCAGACAACATAAGGCAGGATCAACCCACTAACTTTGTTCAATTAGTGTCTCAGGTGCCTTTCTCTTCCACAAGTACCTACAAGTGCCCCTGCAAGAGGCCACTATTGGTGGAATCAGGTGGCAGGAAGTCTATTTGTTCTGGCTGAGCCACGTCCAGGACTCAGCTGCCTCATCCTGTTGTGCCTGTTGAGACCTCCAGACACAGCAGGTGATTCTGGGCCTTTCTCCCTTTTTCCTGAGATTAGGGGTAGGTCTTCTCTGTTCTTCCAAAACCTGTCTACCTCTAGGCCAACAACCTTATATAATCCCAGTGCTATCCCTAGTCACCCCACAGCTGTTTGTGACAGCCATTTCCCTCAGATACTCATATGTGCATGCATGTGCATGTACACACATGCACTGACTTTCATAAGGTAGTGGCAGCCCCTGGGGACCTCAAAAGGTTTTGTTTCACCTTTTCTCTCTGTACTTAACCTGCAAGTCTCCAGGGACTCTGATCTCAGTTGCAGGCACTAACCCATTGGATCAGGGATAAGATAAAGGAGACTAGCAGTGCAACCCATAAACCCACACTTTATGCCAAGCTGCTTAAATTCATACCCAGTAAATAGTAATGCCTGGCAATGGGAGGCTCTCCCCAGTACACCATGTTTAGCAAAAATAGATTTGATATGCACAGTCACCTGTTTAGCAGCAGCATCTCCCAGCAAAGCTATCGGGGAGGTGAGAATTACAGTCTAGGACAGGGGTGGGCAATTATTTCCAGTGGAGGGCCACTTACTGAGTTTTGGCAAGCCATTGAGGGCCATGTGACAGGCAGCCAGGGGGAGATAAATATTAATTTTCTTAATTTTTTTTGGTGGGGGGGGGGGGGGGGGGGCCACGGGCTGGATAGAATGGCCTGGCGGGCCGCACCTGGCCTCCAGGCTGCATTTTGCCCAGCCCTGGTCTAGGAGGAGTATTTAGTTTCTTCCAGCCAGCATAACCTGGTCCATACCTAATTTTTGTGCAAAAAATTAATTTTTCCCTGCATTTTCCCAGCATGGGATCTTTTGCTCGATTTGTCCTCTACTTTTGACATACACAAGCCCCAGCCACTTTTCTATGCCACTGTTCATTCGCGGCCATTATAAAACATCTTGACCCTTCTCCCATTATTGTCTATTTCTAGAGTGTTTCAACTGCTTCGTTCTTCCATTCAAGATACTTTATCTGTTTTACTGCTGGCGGCACGTGTGGCTGCTGTTGTTCACAGACAAGGAGTGCAAAGAGGGTCCGTTTCTTCCAGGGCCTCTGAACTGTATCGGGTCAGCATTGGGCACCATGGACTTTCTGCAGAAACAGCAACCTATTTCACCTGGCTCTTGTGAACGCCCCTGAAAAGTGCAGTCCCCCAGAGCAAGGGTCTTGCTTTCCCAGAAGCATGGCTATTTCTGGAGCCATTATCTTTTAAGTCCCCTCTCTGATGGCTTCCCTTTAGTTTTCCTTCGGGGTGGTTTTCATATGGAGTAAATGCTGCTAGATAACACTGAGACAGGACAGCATCTTCTTTTTTACTCCACAGTTACTCAGTAACTGAATCTGTTGTGTAAACACAGGCATAACTTATACAACTGTACAGGCTCAGGGGCCTATTAACGTCACATGATAATTGTGTGAATCGGAAGGTCAGGGCATTTCTAGAAAGAGTCAAGAAGGGCAAGAAGAAGGGTTCTGGCCCCCATGGAATTAAAACCAGACACAGAGCAGTCATTCAAGGACAGATGATTAAACCTAATAATTAAACCACAAATTCAGCAACCAAAAGGATGAAGAGTCCAGGAAACAAACAGCACTTCTTGGCTCCACCTAAGAAAAAAGCTGTTTGAGAAGAATGAATTGGAAGCTGCTAGCCAAGTATGTCTTGTGAGGGAATATTTCCATCAGAGCATTTACTGGTGTTGCCTTACGATCAGATAAAAGGTCTTGGGCAGAAGAGAAGAGATTTCCTTTATCTTCATCACTGGTTGTGGAAATAGCATTAGTCATCCTGCAGCAGAACAGAAACAGAGAGTTGTAAGCTCTTCAAGGCAGGAACTGAGCCTAGGGCAAGAGTTGGATACAGCTGGATGAGAAAGGCAGAAGGCAATGAGATGACTGTGGGTACTGGGACAGGCATCATTCCCAGCACCTTATCTGTCCAGCTATTGTCAAGCATTTTGTCAGCATTACAGTATAGGTACAGACTACAGTTCCTCTCTCACACACAGTTTTATATCTATGTCACTCCATTAACATCAATTCAGTTAATCCAGACTCATGCGACCAAGAGGAGAGAGAATCAGACTTGGGCAGAACTAGGTCTTATGAAACCAAAGCAGAGTGTTGAACACAAATACATCTTGGAAGTAGCTCTACCATATGGCTTGGCAGCGGATAGCACAGACTCACTTCTCTACCAATTTTGCACCTGGATCTCTCTCTGACTTTGGGGATTTTCAGGCATGAGAGCTAGGCACTTCAGGAAACCAGGATTCAAATCAGGATCATAGTACAATAAGCATCATGATCTCAGCATGATCACCAGTGGAAATTTGCCATCATATAAAAGCCATGCCAGCTGGTGAAATCCAACCTAGCTGAAAGCTTCTTCTTGGACAGGAGAATACACAAGGTGCACTAAAAGAGCTGGGAATACAAGGTCCATGCATTCACAGCGCTTTGGTAGACTTAGGAACATCTTCTTGGTGGTGTCTCACTGCAGTCAATGGCAAAACCAAAAACAGGACCAGGATGTGGCATATTGTGGACAGTACCAATAAATCAAGGTTCTGTTGGTAATTTGCATCCACATTCTGGCACACAAATCTAACAGCACATCTCCATAACCCACAACACAGATGACTTGCAGATTAAGGAAGAATCTCACGCATCAAAAAACAGAAATAAAATGCCAAACACGCGCACACGTGCGTGTGCGTGTGTGTTTACACATGCAGTCTGCACATGACATTTAGAGTATGCCCTGATAAACCATCTGCACAAATACAGTTTTACCACCTCATTAAAAGAGGTGCTAAGCACCACATGGCTCCCACTAGGCTGTACAGGTTCAGCACCACTGAAAAAAAGTCAGGCCATGCCACTAAGGGAAGGCAGGCACACTGCATTAAAAAAAATCCATTGCTGTGTACTATCAGGGTATTTAGAGGAGCAGCTGTGGGAGCCGGCATCATTTAGCCAACTTTTGAAGGATGCATCTTCTACTTTAAACTTCTGGAATCAATGGACATCACAAACCAGTTCCATTGAAGGTAATGCAGTTACACTGATGAAGCAGCATGGGAATTAGCCTATGACCTACCTCCTGATAGCTGGATTCACTGACTCCTAATCTGCTGATCTTCCTGACTATGGGGGGTGAATATAAAGAATCCGGCGAAGTCTCTCCCAAATAGCTCCAACCAAAACTATGCTGGACCCACTGCAAACAAGTGATTCACTACATGGTTAAAGAGACACCAATGAGCAGCCAAGGTTTGAGATGTTATTATATAGAGCTAGGGTGATATTTTTGGATGCTGAGATGCCCTGTTGATCCCTTATATGTTTCCAGGAGACAAGACAATGAGAGCATCAGCATCAGCACTCTCTGCCACAACCCACAGCTTCCCATAGAAAACATCATGGTTCCCAATTACAACACCTCCAGGTGCATCATGACCCACCTGCCAAGGGAGGACGGAGCATTCTACATCTGCGGCTGTGTAGACGAACAGGAATGCAACGACAAGCTCATCTTTGAAAATCACACCAATGGTGAGTACTGGCATTCATGTTGTCTAGACCCAGCATTAAAAGATGCTGCACTCTCTTAGAAGCCACATCCCTCAGGACTCCTGAAAAGCAGGAGCCCAGTAAGTACAGAGAGGACCATTAGGTCAGCTAGGTCTGACTAGCTGAGTATCACAGATCATGACGTTTCATTCAGCTTGAGCTTGGCTCAAGCATATCTCTGGAAGGGCAGCCAGGCCTTGGTCTGAAGACATCCTGAGATGGAGAGTCTACCACCCCTGGACCATGCAGAAACTCAAGTTAGGAACCCAAGAACTGATACAGCCCAAAATTTCAGTAAATAGTGAGATCCTAGAACAAGCTGAGCTTTGATAACAACCATCAAACCCTACTGGAGTCAAGTTATTTTTTTTTGGCTAAAGGTTAAAAAATGAAAAGTTTTCATGAAAGCTTAAGAAATCCAACTCTACGACCCTAGTGGAAACAAGGCACTGGCATTTATTGTCAAGCAGCTAAGTTAGATGAACACTACTTTGGGTTCACCAGTAAAATCCAAAGCTCCTCATCTCCACTAGGGTCTTGGTCTCGTATAGCTAATGGACTCCTTACCCTGCTGTAAAAAGCCATCTTTCTGGAGGCAAGGTCATAGCCACACTTCATGGGATTGCAGGGGTGCACCTCCGTGCTTTGATTTGCTCTAGAAGCTACCTTTTTTGCCACTGAAGACAAATACCTCAGAGGAGTTGCACAGGTGAAGGGGAGGGCAGAGCTTGACCCATCCTTAGAGGTTTCTGCAGATACAAGGAGGATTGAATTGGGCTGTAAAATTGCATCAGTGAAAGCCAAGGAGAAGCCAATTCTGGTGTCTCAAGAGGTCTGCAAAGTCTGAATGAGCTTCAACCGTGCCTCTAAAAATTCATGGCTCTGGTCTGAATTTTTAGCAGCTTACCCATTGCTCATTATCCGGGCACCAGCCAAACGGGCCTCAGGGAATACTTATTAGGAGCAAAGGCAAAACAAAAAGCCTCCTGAATTTTCATAATTACAGAGCACCAAATTGCTAGCCGTAACCTGCAAGCAGGGAGCATAACTTTTCCTGCAGAAAATGGCAAATTGCACAAGATATGAATTCTCAGAATAAACAAACCAGGTTTTTTTTTCTTACAAAGGTAAACGATGCTAAATTTGGCAGACCTTCACTGTTTCCAGAGCCAAACATAACAGGTACATGTGCTTCTAGAGCACGATAGTTAAGTCCCAAAGCTGATACTGAGGTATATAATTTCATACAAAAATGACAACTCCCTCTTGGGAAATGCCACCCCCAACAAATGCTTTCATAAGAAGTTCCTGCATTGCCAACCCACAGATAAAAATGCCATAATTTGAAACAATACCATCTGAAGCCTTGAATAAGCTCTCTTCTTTAATTTATTATCTAAACCCATGGCTCCTTGTTCAACATTGGCCAACAACAACTTTACAAGACCCAGATTTAATGCATCTCCTTACAAATTGCTCATCTTCCCTTATATGATTATTATTTTTTATTATGAAGGTTTGCATTTTAATGCAGTTTTAAAAGGAGCTTTAACTTAGACGTGCCTTAAATATTACAGACAGCATTGGATTAAAAAGACAGATTCTGGTGAAAGAAATAACTAAAGCAGATAAACATTTTTCCAAAGCACAAGGTATGCAGGAGGTATACACATTTTCTGTGTACTCACAATCTTAGACACTATCTTCAGACTTGGGACTTCTAATGTACACACTGCGTTGCATGTTAATCACTCCAGGGCAAGAGAGATAAATGCAATGCGTCTACGCTGAAGTCTCCTCGGAGCCTATAACAGACATAATTAAGTGCTTTGACTTGTCGTTTCCTCTCCCCAGGCTTGCACCCTAATGCGATGCAAGTAACCCTCACCTGGGAAACAAAGGACAGGAAGTGGAAATTGAAATGGTGCAGTCATAAGCGCTGTTTATTGTTATATATTTAAAGGGCTTCTCAAGTGTCATGCCAATTGATCTTGGCCTAAGAGTTCTAGTTCACATCTGACAGAGATTGAATTAAACAGATGGTAATACACTGCAATATTTTGTTTTAAAGTTCTGCATTTATTTTCAGAGAAAACAGCCAGATTCATTTTCTGGAGAACAGATCTACCCGTTTTATAGCCATGATCCTATCTAGGGATTTTGTAGCACAGAGGGGCATCATCGTTAAGTAATTTGCAGAAGTTATGCTTGCTGGTCTTACTGTTTGTTAGCAGGATTCGGGCACGTAATTCCCTAAAAGAATAAAAAATCCTTTGAAAATGTTTCACTCCCTCTCCCCCGAACTTTAAAGTTTCAAAGATGTGATCATAGCCATCGGGTAAATCCATTAGAGCAGTAGGTGATAGCCAGGCCCAGCGCTTTCCAAAACAAACATATTCCTGAGTTAGTTATTGATTTATATCAGTTTGGGTTGATCTTGTGGTTTGAACTTGATGCCTATTTTAGAAACGCTTTCACAGCCTTACAGAAATTAGCTGCAGCAGATTTTTTTGGAATTTGCCAAGTAAAATAGCTAAATGCTCGGTTTTTCCAGAACCTGAATTATGATCTGCACACACTGAGGTCAAACAGCGAGGGTTTTGCTTATGGAATGATTCTTATCCTTCTTCCCCTTGGTTATTATACTTGGCAGAAAAACCTCTGACTAAGATTTTACTTGAATATCTCTACTGAAGTCAGCATGTTTATTCCAGGAATTGCAAACATCAAAGGATGGGACAATTATATGTTGTGTGAGGGTTTTGGGTTGTTTTTTTTCTTCCATCGGATGGTTTGAAGGCTTGAGTTTTTTCTTTTCTTTTTTCCTAAACACTTTGGGTCAATATTTGAATGGAAATATTTAACAAAAGTAAAACTATATGTATATATATATATATATATAACAACAATTCAAGTGTTTACTTTTGACAGTCAGGTCCTAACCCAAATGTGTCTTGAGGTACATTCACTTATGCCAGTTGTAATGCAGGGGGCACTTTCCCTGTTCCTATTGTTCAGAATTAAACTCCCCAGCTCTTGCTGAGAAGTGTCCTTTCGTAGGCCCACACGTTGAACTGTTTGCAGAAGGATAGTGTTCCTTCATGAAAAGCAGAAGAATTTGGCCCCATATCAGACTGTGCCTGATGGGTCAGCAGAACCGCTTGGTGTCTCCATGCCACCTTGTTCTAACATTTCATCAATTCATCTGTATTCATCAATTGATCTGTATTAATATTCAGATTAAATTAGATTACTATTGTTCTATTTTGTAAAAAAACCTCTGCATTTATAAAACAGTGAAGCCCATCTCCCACATATTTTTTTGTGTGTTTAAAATGCATCTTCATCTAGTCTTATCAGCTGTGCTTCAACATTGATTCTAACATTACCAGGGAGTTTGTGTCTGCAGCTTACGGGAAATCATGTTCAGTAGCTCAAGGATAAGTTAGGAGCTCATGTGCATGTACAGGGTCTCTGGCCTATGTTAAAAAAGGTGGGACAACCAAAAAGCTTACATGACCCATATTCATCAGAGCCATGTAATATGCAGCAACATCTACTGAGAACTTCACTGCAACTCCAGGGTCAGAACCAAAACACTCACTTGGGGGTTTTTTGCATGTGGAGCAGCAGAAAACATTATGCTGGGTGTGCAAGGTCTTGCTTTGAGTCTGGGGAAGGCAGAGTTGCTTAGCAGATGCAGCACTGGGCTCAGATTCAAGAGACCCAGATCGGCTGCTGGCCTGGTTGGTGTCCTTGTCACATCACCTTTCTGGATCTCAGTTTCCCTGCCTGTAAAATGGGAGCAACACTTCCCACTTGTGTGAAGTATTCCAAGCGCTACTGAGGAAGAGCTCGGCCTTGGACACATCTTACTTTTGTAGTGCAATATATGCCTGCAGAGCAGTACAGGAAAGCAAGTGCCCACATGCTCAGGCTGTTTGAAATGCTTCAATGATAGCAGATTTGCCATGAAACCAGGAACAACTTTGTAGCACAATAATTCTGCAGTGCTACATGCAATGTGTGGATGCTTGCATGTAGCACTACAGGGGTCTGTCAGACCTCTAGCTTCCCAGAATGCTCTGCTCACCCTACCCCACCACCACAGGGAGAAATGGAGAGCGGCTGGGCCCACAGCAGCTGTTACAGAGCTGGTGCTTCTTTGCTCTGCTGGACACCCGATTTGCTGTTCAGCCACATGACCATTTGGTGGAACGGACAGGCAGGAAGGAGGGAGAGGCTGAAGCAAGGAGGGCAGCCACTCTGGGTAGGGCAGAGGAGCAGCCCCCTACGGCCTCTGGCTGGAGCCTTTGAGAGGAACTTGTAGCGCTCTAGATAGGGGATCTTAACACTATTTGCGTAGCACTACAAACTGCCTCAGGACTTTGTAGCGCTACAGAAGTAACAAGGCCCCAGGCATTACTCATATGCCTGAAAGCCCAGCTTCTTGAGTTAAAAGCATTTGCTGGCAGTGTGGGGTGCCTATACATCTGCTCGGGGGTGAGGGAGGTATTTTAATTAGAACAGCTCTGAGAACTGCTGTAATAAAATGCTACAGCGTCATGTGTATTAAGACCCCACACATTCAGAAATGGCCACAGGACACTAACTAAAGCTCATTCAATGAGTTTTAGTTAAAGTGCCCCAGCAGCCATGTTTAAACCTGTGGGGGCTTATACATGTGACATTGCAGCCAGGGCTGTCCCTGGGGGGCAGTAAATCAGGACAGCCGCCCTGGGCCCCATGCTTTGGGGAGCCCCGCAGAGCCGGGCAGAGGCTGTGGCTGTAGTTCTGCCATGTCCGGTGTTTCAGGGCTTTCATGCCCTGGCCTAAGTGTGCCATGGGATGGGGAGGGGAGCCCCGCACAGGCTGCTTTGCCCTGGGCTCTGTACCCTGCTGGGATCACCTCTCATTGCAGCAATGCTAGAGCATTACAATTAATTGATTAATTGAGTCTCTCCAACACGTTCTAATTAGAATATATTGGAATACATTTATAAGCACCCATGGGTGCGTCTACACATTGCTGTGTTTTAGGTCTTCCTTCCGGTGCTAAAGTCCTAAAGCACAGTGCAGTATGGACAATTACTGCACCAAGCAGGTGATATGCACTTAGATTTCCCCACTATATTGTCCTAGCAGCACACTATATCCAGGGAGCGCGCCACTACAGCGACATAGCTGGTGATCACGTGTAGACCCACGTGATCACTACATCACTGTAGGGCAATGTGTAGACTCCCCCTGGAATTCCTAATAAACACTAAATGGTTCCAATTCTGTCCATTCGGGGGTGCAAGTGCATGTGTGTGTGCATGTGTGCACACATGCGTGTCTTGTCAGATTCTCACAGGACTGAGTTTTGAACCTTCGCTCTATTACGCTGGCTAAACTGGAATGCCTAAAACAAACATGGAGCATACCTCGAACCATCACATACTTCTGGATGTTCAGAGGACAGTGACAGGCCTCATGCATCATGCCCCTGGAAACCACTCTCTGCTGTTAACTCCCTCACATTTCTCCACCCCCACACTATCAAAAATGGACATTGCTGACATCTTGCAAAAGCACATTCACATTTGTTTTCCTTCCCGCAGGATATTCCATGCAACAGAGCAAAGAGGTCATCCCCGTGGCTGCAATAAGCCTGCTCCCTCCTCTGCTAGTGGCTGTCATGATAACAGTTATATTTTACCTCTGCCGCACCCAAAAGCAGAGGAAGAGAGCCAAGGACTGGAGCCAGAAACACACACAACACCGGGCCTTGCCCGAGTCAGGGAAAGCTGCCGAGCATGATGAGAAGTTGTCGGTGATGATAGACGACAATCACTCCCACATGAGCTCAACCTGTGCCAACAGCATCAATCACAACACGGAGCTGCTCCCCATCGAGTTGGACGAGATGGTGGGGAAAGGCCAGTTTGCAGAGGTCTGGAGGGCCAAGTTGAATCATGCCAGCTCAGGGCAATACGAGACAGTGGCTGTTAAGATTTTCCCTTGTGAGGAATATTCTTCCTGGAAAAATGAGAGCCAGATCTTCACAGACACCAGCCTCAAGCACGAAAGTGTCCTTCAGTTCCTCACGGCAGAGGACAGAGGGTCTGGCCCGCGGAAGGAATACTGGCTCATCACTGCTTACCACAGCAGAGGGAACCTGAAGGACTACCTGTCCCGGCACATACTGAGCTGGATGGACTTACAAAAGATGGCAGGCTCCCTTGTGAACGGCGTGGCTCATCTGCACAGTGACTACACTGTGTGTGGCAGGCCAAAGATCCCCATTGCCCACCGGGATATCAAAAGCACCAACATCCTGGTTAAGAACGAATGTGAATGCGTGCTCTGCGATTTTGGCATCGCCCTCCGACTCGACCCTTCCTTAACAGCGGACGACTTTGCCAACAGCGGACAGGTGAGCAGGTCCTGCAAAAACCCTTGCTTGGCTTTTTAGAAACACAATGCAATGCAATAAAAATAAAAGAATATAATGGCCGCACCCACCTGTATGCCTCAGGCACCTGTGGGCTAACTCAGAAATGCTTTGGAAATAATAGCTTGCACTGAGCACTGAACACTTCCAAGTGCAAGGAGACTGTGATGGAAACCACAGTCCGTGGAAGCGAGAATATCACAGGGGGCTAATATTATAAATTTGCCAAGGCACAAGGCAGACTTCAAGGCTGAAATCTAACAGACCAGATTGGCCGATTTGATACAAGCTATAGTTAGCACTGGAAAGCAGTGTAATTAGGCACCTGTGAACCATGATGCTATCTTAAAATGGACAAACTTTAGCCCAGTGCAGAGTCAAATCCACATTCCTTTCCAACGAGTGAGTTTAGACCTTGCAGCCTGTAGGACATTTAATGCCATTGATAAAGCAAATTGCTTGCTTTAGCTTTTCTGAAAGAGATGTTAAAGGAGTGACACCCAAGAGACTAGTTTGAAGCCAGGCACAGAGCAAGTCACTGTGCAGATGGGATTTGGTTACAGTGCTCTCTGGGGCTGCTCCTGAGAAAGCCAAGCAGGAGGGATTAGGAGCGTGTGAAACCATCTTACATCTTCTGATTGGCAGGTTGTGGCAGTCTGACCTGGAACAAAATTCTCTGACAAACAGGCCATGAAGAGCCTATGATCACTGCTAACTTTTAAAAAAAAGTATTCCCCACATAGCTGCTGGTCTCCGACACATTTGCTAACATCTCTTCTTTTCCTGGCCAGGTTGGCACTGCCAGGTACATGGCTCCAGAAGTTCTAGAGTCTAGAGTGAATCTGGAAGATTTGGAGTCCTTCAAACAAATGGATGTCTACTCGATGGCCTTGGTTTTGTGGGAAATGGCCTCCAGGTGCGAGGTGGTAGGAGGTAGGAAAACTGCAGCAGAGTCCCAAATAACTTGCTTTTGTTCAGAACCAAAGAAAGGAAGCACATGCCTTCTTGAACAATGCACTACCTTCAGACCTGCAACTTTTCTGCTCTTCCTCTCCCTCCACCCCACTAAGCAATAATCAGTCTACTACGTTTTCCCTGGGTAGAAGGTTTCTGTTCACTTAACCTTGGGCTTAATATTAGATGCACAGCATCTTCTGATGTGCACGGAGCCTAAGAGAATCTGGATTCCACACCATTTCATAGTTTAAGTGCACCTGCTAAGCTTGTCCTGCTTGCTACATACCTGCTACGGAAAGTGCTTCAGAGGCAGGAGTGCAGGATGAACACAGATGGAAGAGGAGAATTTCTGCTTTAGATCCCTCTCTGCCCCCCCATATTTGTAGGCTGTAGTCTCAGCTGTTGGCATTATCTGCTGATGCACCATGACAAAGCAGGGAGGAAAGGTGCAACAGAGAAAAAAATGTACCTGAAAAATAAAGAACTGGCAGGTGAAACTCTGGCCCCATTAAAGTCAAGAAAAGCTTTAGGGAGTTTCTCCAGTTGATTTCTATGGGCCCAGGATTTTATCCCACATCTTTGGACAGCCACAACCAGCTAAAGAAAACGGGTGCCAAGAGTGGAGCTGTGCAGAAACACACTCCTGGTGCTCTCCAAGTTCTCTAAAATATGACATGATTTAGGCTGGAAAAATCGGATGACCTGCCAGGAGTTTGCTCCTCTCCTCCCCCCATCCATGGAGGTTGGACACACACAGCAAAGCTCCCTTAATTTCCAAAATATTACAGAAGGTAGAATTTTGTGTGTGGGTAGATACAGGAAAACTTAATCACCAGAGATGAGTTATTTTAATGGAGAGTAATCAAGCATGGATCAAAGCCACCAAACTGCACAGAGGCACTGCACATGCATGCTTCCCATCAGCTGGGCATGTTAAAACACACACACCCCAAACTGCACAGAGGCACTGCACATGCATGCTTCCCATCAGCTGGGCATGTTAAAACACACACACCCCAAACTGCACAGAGGCACTGCACATGCATGCTTCCCATCAGCTGGGCATGTTAAAACACACACACCCCAAACTGCACAGAGGCACTGCACATGCATGCTTCCCATCAGCTGGGCATGTTAAAACACACACACCCCAAACTGCACAGAGGCACTGCACATGCATGCTTCCCATCAGCTGGGCATGTTAAAACACACACACCCCAAACTGCACAGAGGCACTGCACATGCATGCTTCCCATCAGCTGGGCATGTTAA